ATCTTATGAAAAGTGTAGCTCGTAAACAGCATCATTTCTAGAGAAAGTGCTTTATCGGCTCTGGGAATGATATGCTGCCGCTGTTCTAAACGTTAAGGATCCTATAAAAAACATTTACAATGACAATATTGTGATTCAACAAAAAATAACAGTAGTAACAATAGAATTCTGAAAACAACAAATTTTATTTTATGGTAAGTTAAATTTAATTTGTAAGTATTGTCTGATGCGGGTTATGATTAGTTTACGATGAATATTACATTAATAAATAAATACATTATTTTACTTACACTTAAAGCTTTAAAAAGACTTTAATTTGATTTAGCCATGTGTTTTCTTCAGTTTTACATCTGATTTATATCCCGTTTTACAACTTGAAAGAAATAAATCTTACTTTTGATATTTTTTGTCACTCATGTTACTTGTACTCAGGTATTTTTGTTCACATTACTTTGATACTTTTCACCATTTAAAAAAACCCTTCATTTCACATTGACTTACATAAAAAATTAACGGCACTGACGTTTGACCTGCCAACTACAGTCAATTTAGCGAACTTTATAGAAAGAAGGATTTAATCATTGCTGTTTCCCGCCTTATCTATAGCCTTTATAGTGAATTGTTGGCAACCTTTAAAAGATAATTTCCCCTGCACGATAAATTAAAATCGTATTTGCTCTTAGTCTTTTTGTGTTATTCCCTTGACAATTGAAATCACTAGGAATTACGACACTATCTTCTTATCGTAAAAATAGTTTATAAATTATGCAAAAGAGTAATATTATCTTTTATTTTTGTTTGTTTCCCACGATTTTTTCGAAAAAAAAAAAAACATATAGAAGGTAAGTATAAATACTACCTGAGTCAATCGAGGCTTTTTCTTTTTTAATTTTATGATAATAATACATTTTTAAATTCCAGTTGATACTACAACACGAGCTCTACAATCTATTTTGGGCCTCAGTTTTCATACATTTAAATATATTAGGTATGATTTCTTATTTCCTAACTGAAAATCTCTTACATTTAGGTATTTTGTCTAATTAAAGAATTATAACACCTTTAAAAAGGCATACGAATCACAAATATTGTAAATTAACCTATTCAACGATACGACACTGGCTACACTCTACCTATTCATTCATTGCTTAAATTATTAGTATATTTGAATTTCTCTATATTAACAGTTAATAAAATATTGGAATTATAAAATACGTATTTTACATGATAGTATTTGAGTTTATGTATAAAAAATATATTTTTTTAACAATTTATTTAACTTTCGCGGATGATTTTTAATGTAATTTTTGATATCACCTCGTATAGTTTGACAATGTTGATGCAATTGAACAAAATTCATCTATGAACACATATTTTGTCTCCAAAGTATCAAGCTAATTCAGATTAAAACGTGATATTTGTTAAAGATACAATTGAAGGGCTTATTGGAAAAACGTGACAAGTCACAAAATTTATTTGTTGGAAAAACACGTTTCAGAGGTTCAAACAAATTTCAAAAATCTATCAATATCATAACTCATAAGTATTGATAATGTGCGTGGTGGTTCAGTAAGCGACTGCCGTAGTGTTGCAATGAGAAATAAAACAGGGGTGGCCTGAAAAAGTTACTGCACAGGTATTTATTACCATACATTTTCATACCTTGGCAATTTAAAAACTTGTCTGTATCTCAGTAAATACTTAATGCTTAGGATATAAAGGGATACTTAAATGACAAAATACAGAACTCTCCACCATCAACCGTCACACCTACCTGCATTTGTCGTACATAATTGAGATGCTCACAGCCAAATTCCAAGATTCCGCAGCGTAAATAACCGTTCTCTAGATTCTGGGTTTATTTGGGTTTCTTTAAAATTTGATGCAAACCGTCTGAGAATAGAAAATTATTTAACTTTTAAAGAGTCCACTAGTCAACTAGTCCTCTGACAGTTCTCAACGTATTTCTGAAGAGGCCAAACAAGCCTTATGACGATATTAATATTTGTTAGGAACTCAACAAGGGATTTCATTACTTCAAATATATTCGAAATTCATGAAAGTTACTTAGATTACTGTAAACTGGGGGTACTTTGCGCCATCAAGTGTTACTTTGCACCATTGATGAAAAGTGTTTAATTCAGTATTAAAGCTTAGACAAAATGTTTTAGAAGTCCGTTTATACAGCTGTGTTAAGTGTTGCAGTTCCAATAAAGGTGCAAATTATTGTTCTACGCTGAGGTTCTACGTGCAGTCTTGTACAAGCAATCGGATGATAAACAGGTGTGCCAATAATGTATTAATTTTTAACCTTAAAAATTTGGTGTGTGCAGCAATTTCTGTTAATCTCTGCCTATTTAGTAAGTATACACTGTTAATATTTTATTTTATTAACGCGTTTTGTACGAAATTATCCTTCATAATTAATTTGATAACTTACTTTTATTTTTTCTTGAATGAGCATGTAAATATCAAGGTATTTTAGGGTAAGTTTGCTCCGTGGAGCAAAGTATCCCCAAGAGAATTAAATGTTTGTTTTAATTTTTTAAATTTGTATTAGTATTATGTGTTGCTATTACATTGTTTATTTTTGTTACAGGAATGCCCAGAACGTATGCAAGGAAACTGAGAACAAGAAGATATGCCGATTACACGGCGAAACACTGCAAGCATGTTTGGAAGAAATTAAAAGAGGTGAAATTTCACATAGAAAAGCGGAAGAAAAATATAATATACATAGGAGAACACTTTTTAATAAACTAAAAGAGAGACATCAAAGAAAACCAGGAAAACAGCCTATATTTACTTCCGATGATGAGCAGAGTTTTGTTAACTGCTTCATTTCTTTGGAAACGTATGGGTTTCCTATAGATACAAGGGAATTAAGACATAATATCAAAAATTATTTAAATCGCTGTGGAAGAGAGGTAAAAGCGATTCAGAATAATATACCTGGGCAAGACTGGGTGAGAGCTTTTTTAGCTAGGCATTCCGAACTTTCAGTGCGTTTTGCAGAAAACGTTAAATCGACACGAGCAGCAATGGATGAGAAAATGCTAAAAAACTTTTTTGATAACTTGAAGAGAGAAATAAAAGACGTTCCTCCCACAAATATATGAAACTTCGACGAAACAAACGTCACGACGATCCGGGAAAAAAAGAAAGTTCTTGTTAAGAAAGGAAGTAATTATCCAGAGCTTATCCAAAATGCGTCAAAAACACCAATATCCATCATGTTTTGTGGAAATGCCGCAGGAGAATTATTGCCACCATATGTTGTCTATCGGGCTAGTAAAATGTGGACAACTTGGACAGAGAATGGTCCTAAAGGCTGTCGTTACAATATCAGTACTTTTGGATGGTTCGATGCAAATATATTTACGGACTGGCTTGCGTCTCAATTGATACCTAGAGTAAAAAAACTACAAGTTTTACTTTGTGATAATTTATCTTTACATCTAACTCTAAATGCTCTACATATGTGTCGTCAAAATGAAATACACTTAATTTATCTTTCACCGAATAGTGCCTGACACAACCTCTTGATGTGGCATTTTTTCGCCATCTAAAAATAGCAAAGCGAAAAGTGTTATCTGATTGGAAGGACACTGCCTACGGTATTAGGCATACTAATATTCAGAAAGAAAACTTCCCACCATTATTAGCGAAGATGATGAAAATTATTACTAATTATTACTCTACAAGCTGCAGCCAATTTAAAAGCCGGTTTTCGGAAATGCGGTATATTTCCATTAAATATCGAAGAGGTGCTGTCGGATTCCTAATGAAACTATAGTTCAATCAGAGTTTCTGAAATCTCTGGAGATCAAAAGATCAGAGGTAACCGTTACAGTAAAATAACGCATTTGCACCGATCAGCCCATGGTTACTGAAGAAACTGACGAATTTATAGTAACTGGAGATGAGGTGATTCCTCAAGAAGAACCAACTACGTCTCGCTGTGGCAAGAAGGACGATGCTGGTTTCGATGACAACTCTTCAGATAATATTGATTTTGAAGAGCTTGCCAAAGAGCAAGGAAAAGAAAACCAGTTTGTTAATTTTTTAGAAGGCAAATCTTCCCTATATACCAACGCCAAATTTCAGAATGTGGTCAAGGAAAGAGGACATTTTGTGGTGTTTTCCTATGAAGGACAATTATACCCCGGAGAAATTGTTTCTTTTAATGAGGTTACAATTTACGCAATGCAAAGGTCCCTAAATATGTGGAAATGGCCCTCAAAGCGGGATGAATTAACATATCAATGGTCCGATGCTTTAGGCTGTAATAACACCCTCAAACAAATTTTCAAAAGAGGTGCCTTTTCCGTCCCGAAATTAACGGATTTCTCTAATTAAAACTTGTTTTTTTATATTTTTTTATGTAGGTAGTACCATGTGGATTCTATTTTTTATCTGTAAAGGATATGGTGTTGATTTATGATAGGTAGATTAAAAAGTTCTATGTAACATTTGAGAGTTTTTTTTGTATGTCTTTTCCCATGAAAAAAGTTAATGAAATAGCTAGTTAACATTTCCCCACCTTATTGAAAGACATACGTTATAACATAAAATGTTCAGTGGAAAACTTTGCTCCACTTTTCAATAAAAAAATAGGAGACTATAGAATATCCGTCTCATGAGTAGCACTATAGATATGGTCAATTATAAATAGCATAAAAGTCCCGTATATATAAAAATAAACATCTTACTCTCCAATTTTTCGAGTTCTTGGAAGTATTCCTGAAAGCGGAGCAAAGTACCCCCAGTTTACGGTATGCCTCGTGCGACAATATTTCCCGTTCTTAATGTAATATCTTATTTTGCACTCGTTAGTTTTCCGCACCAGTATAGAATATATTTCTTTCGACACTTGCTGTGTAATATACTATTTTTGCCCGAAAGGGAAATTCAGTATTCTTTAATGCCCGAAACTGCAATGTATATTTGTATTTAAATCTTAGATATTTTTATATATATATAAATATTTTTTTTTTCAGTCGACATGGGGGAGAAATGGGACAAATTTCTTCTACTCATGTGGAAGAACTGGGTCCTTCAATACAGAAGACCCATACAGACCCTCATAGAAATTCTGGCACCGGTTATATTTTCTGGCCTGTTGGTAATCATAAGAGGCCAGGCGGACCCTGAATTAGAAAACGAGAAAATTTATTCGCCATTTTGTACTTTCCCAATCGCACTTAACCTTAAAACCGCTTCAGGAGAATTTTTGTGTCCAAATGTTGATAATATTCCATTACCACCAAATATTTCAACGTCTATAATGGATGTAGTAGGAAATTCATCATTGTAAGTATATATTTAAGTATTTGTTTTTTATAAAATTATTTAGTTACACTACCGTTAACGTACTACCGCACTATACTCTGCTTTTGTCTAACATCACTGAATCAAATCAAAAGGCTTGGTTCTCTTGACTCTTCTTATTGGATTGGCAATGTTAAGGAGCTGGATAACCTCAACTTTCCCATATTGGAGTAGTTGTTGTCGGTGACTATTGGCAAATTGCTTTATTGTATTTTCATTAGTCTTCACTTTAAGGTCCCAATGAAGATCCGTATTGTGGTAGTAGCAGAAAAACGTTAAATAACTTAAATATTATTTTTACTAGCACAATCCCAAATCTGGATGCTGTTTGTTGATCTGGATTATTTGGATTTTTTTTCTAGCAACCAATGCAGTCTTTTGTATTTTATACTAAGCTATTTGCGTTTCTTTTTAATATGAACTTTCCAGCGAATTCTAGCATCAAGATATGCTGCTGTATTGGCAAAAAAATGTGGGTGTCGTTTATTCTAACAGGAATATATTCAGTTTGTTTGTTTCTGAAGTTGATATGTGCATTAGGCTGGGCCGAAATAGGCATATTTTTAAAAAATATAAAAATTACGTTTACAATACCTATCAAAACTTGCGTTTTGCTGTGATTACTTTTCTTAATTTTTTAAAAATTTCTAAATTCACATTTTCAGCCCTCTACCGCCCCCTTTAGGGGGGAGAAAAGTTAAAGTTTAAAATTTTGATGTAAAATACCTACTGAAAGTTACATTTTAGTGTTTGTATTCACACACTTTATTTTTAATATTTTTAAATAACATCTTCAGCCCTTTACTACCCTTTTAACCAATGTTTAATACTTTTGTCATTAAAAGATAAGGTAAACATTACTTGAACAACAAACAAATATTACACGATTTAAACTAAACAACACATTTATTTAAAAAATGGTAAAAAGCACCTAAAAACATAAGAAGCTAACAAATCAAATATAATGTTACACTGGTTTTTGGTATCTCAATTCATTGCAACTCAACTTTAACAATAAATATGTAACTGACATTAACGTATACTGTCTATCATAAAACTGAAACTCTGACATCAGGATCCCTGCTTATATAGCTTGCTTTAACCTTCTCGGGCATTTTCAAACTGTCTAGACTTTTCCTTGACGTGGAATGACATTTCCAGACACTTCTGGACTATTCTATCTTCTTTTGCTAGTACTTTTACTTATGACGACCGCAGCACGCTGCAGGGTGCTGCGTACTATTGCTCCCTCCTCTCTAGTTATTCGCCCTCTGGTTTGATAGTGGTTGCCCGAAGAGTAACTTTATCTACTGGTTCTTCCCGTTCTCCAAGCTCCTTAGTGTACCAGCATTCTCGTTCTAAACAGGGTCGCCTGGAGGGAATGTCTGCGTTGCTATGGAGACGGCCTCTACGATGCTCTACTTCCTGAATATTCCTAGAAAGCCGGCTCAGTGTGGGTGATTGGCTTCTTCGGAACGCATAGCTGCTGTGACTATTTTTTATTGGACTTTGTGACGGGCTTCGGAAGATTGATCTATGTGACTTTGCGGCCTCATTCCCTGATTCTCGATTTATAGAACAAGCTCTGCTTCTACAGGTTCTTTGAAGGTACCCGATTCTTCCACAATTTAAACATCTCTTGCTTCCAATTTGGCGGTTTCTTTGCATATTTTGCAGGATATTTAATATTTGCGAGATGGTAGGTTGGGGAATAGAATTAGTATTGGCCTCCTCACTTTCCTGGGATTTAATTTCTCTTACTCTTGCGCGAGAAGATCTTGGAAGAAGTTTTACCGCTTCATATTCCTGGTCTGCAATCAGTTTCTCTCTCAGCGTTTTATGAATTTATAGATGAAGAGCTTTCTACAATTCCACATCTTGTAGTCCATCAATGAATGCCTCTGTAATCCGATTTGTTCTTGGAAATATTTGGGCGCCTGTAGATTGGCCAGATGAATCAATCTTCTTATGTCGGCCTCGAATTCCTGTAGACTCTCATTATGTTTCTGATTACGAACCTTTAGCTGGCTTTGAAATACCCGTTTCAAATGCTGCTGGTTATATCTTGTCTTCAAAGCTTGGACAAGAGATGCATAACTGGGTTCTTCTTGGGGAAGGAACTGTAAAATGGTTGCTGCCTGACCTCGCAGTGTTACTAATAATGAAGCCGTCATCTCTTTCTCGGTCCAGCCATTGGCTCTAGCTGCAGCTTCAAATTGGAGTCGATACGTTTCCCATGTTGTCTGACCGTCAAACGTGGGTGGCTTAATGGTATTGCTAGTATGACTTTGTGAAACTGGGTTTTGGATATGGCTTAGTTCGGTTATAGATGAGGACGAAGTAGTGTTTTCAGTTTCTCTATTTCTCATCGAAGTTTGGCTACGAATTCTTCTTTCTAACTCAACTAGCCTTTTCCTGTTGTTTTACATTCTCTCGCTGTTGTTCTAAATTAGTTTTTAAATACTCTTGCTGCTGTTCTAAATTTGTTTTTAAATGCTTTTGTATTTGCTCTAACAGATCTACTCTAATTTTAGGCTAACCAACTTCTTGCCTAAAGGTTTCCTGGATTTGTAGCATTTTCTTCTTTTCCTCCTCCTCTTCCTTCCTACGGTTTTCCTTTTCCTCCTCTTTTTTATTTCTACGCCTTTTCTTTTCCTGCTCTTCTTCCTTATGGTGCCTTTCCTTTTCCTCCTCTTCCTCCTTACGGCGCTTTTCCTTTTTCTCTTCAAAAACCATGTTGGTGGGCCTGAAGTATCCATATCTGTTTCGTATTCAGTCGATCTAGTATTTACCATGAACTTCTACTTTGGCTCCCACCGGTGTCACCAATGTTACACTGGTTTTTGGTATCTCATTTTATTGCAACTCAACTTTAACAATAAATATGCAATTGATAACATTAACGTATAACGTCTATCATAAAACTGATCTCTGCTTATATAGCTTGCTTTAACCTTCTCGAACATTCTCGAACTGTCTAGACTTTTCCTTGACGTGAAATGACATTTCCAGACATTTTTGTACTATTTTATCTTCTACTGCTAGTACTTTTACTTATGACGACCGCAGCACGCTGCAGGATGCTGCGTAACAATAAAAAGCTAACACATCAAGTACAAAAAAAACATAAGTATTAAAAAAAAAACATTTACTGAATTTTAAACTGTCGTTTACTTTCAAATGTTGGCATGATTTTTTTTTATTTTATTCTTGAGCGAATAAAGCAGTCTCTTGATTCTGAAGCAATTACTAAAGAAGATAACTCTGTAATTAATTTTACGCATCTCTCCACGCATTGAGTATGACAATGGAAAATCGAAGTCTGGAATTTCGGTTTCGTTTATCAGGTCCCTAAGATTATCATTAGTAAAATCCCTTGAAACAGGAGGACAGTGTCACATCGCACTCATTCCAGTAAATTGACTTAAAGTATTCTGTAGCACTAAAATTAATTTTTGGTACCACAAAGTGTCTTACTTCAACGGTTTCTCGACTGGTTTCTCTAAATTTTAAGATTCTTCGTAGAGATATTTTGTGAATCCATTCACGAGTGTCTGCTAGCATACACAAAAGAATGTTTTCGGGATGCATAAAATCCGCGTTTTCTTTCGATTACCGTATCCGCAATACTTTTTAAATCATCTCTTAAATAGCGTGACAGGACAGTTTAATCGTTTTAAATAAATGCAAACTACTACTGACTGAAATTTAGTTTATTATTATACCCAATTGGGGCATACATTTTAATTATGAATTTGGCCATATTCGCGAGGCTTGATGTTGGATTTTCCGTTCCAGCATGGAGCCGAAGAACACGATTTGCCATTGTGAGCTATCTAGAGTGCGCTAATTTTCCGAAATTACGGTGTGCTAAATTTGATGACAAATTGCTGCTTGTTATTGCATTGCAAATGTCGTATAAATATGATTGATCAAAACTTAAATCTATAGAAATTACAGTTATATTTGGCAACTCATATTTTATTGGGATAGAATTTACAATTTTAAGAAGTTCACATTTTTCTAAAGACTTCCTGATTTCACCAAAATATTGACTAGGTCCCACTGTACTGCCATCTAATGTTGAAATAAATGACTCAATGGCAATTTGTTGGCGTGTAGTTGGCAAATATACCATTGTAAAGTACGTTTCAATTCATTCTCAATATACCTAATAACACCATTTTTACTACCAGTGTTAACAATAGTACCATCGCATCTCACAGCCGCCAAATCATCTAGTTCTAAATTGTTTTTGGCAAAAAAGTCCAATATTGCTTTTCCAACTGAATTTGCCGTCCCTGTAGTTGGAGTTACGTGGCCAATATACAGTGTGGTCCAATGAAAAGTATCCACTACCTTTTCTTGGTTCCATCAGATTTAAAGAAGAAATGCTCGGACACGTCGATATTTGTTTGGAGGGGGACACATTTTTTTTTTAATTGCATCATTGACATTTCAACCCTCGAGCATTGGGGTGAACAATCCCTAGAATTTAGATAGGGAAAATACTAGATGTGACATATTTTTGAAAAGGTAATTTTATAAGAGTTTCAGTAATGTCAATACTGTTGCGTCAAATTCAGATTTAAGCGCCCTCTTGAAGGTGAAAATTATGCAACAAGAAGTAGAAATGCTTGGACACGTCGATTTTTGTTTGGAACAGGACACATTTCTGTCCTAATTTCAGCATCGACGCTTCGACCCGTGAGTATAAGATGAACGACCCCTAAAATTTAGATAAGGAAAGTACCAAGGGTGACACATGTTTGCAAAGGTAATTTTATGGGATACTACATTTCAACAGAAAATTACATTTCAATTTTGTTACTTTCTAAAAAAAGTAATAAACAGTAAAATTAATTTTTTAAAGATTTGTTAAAATGTTAATTTAACAGGTGTTGAAAATGGGACCCATTTCCTTCCATACAATAATACAAATTTTGTTCAAATTTATTGCGAATATTTTATAAAATTTTAGG